CCCTTTGACAACTTGTCCTTTGGAGAAAAGCTCCTGTTTTGGGGAGCTGTGTGTTAAACAGAAAAAATTAGAGATCCCCTGAAAGAGGAGAAAACTGGGCCTGATATTAATATGTGAGCCTCTCTTTGCCTGGCTAGTTCCCGTCATTCTTTGTAAGCCAGCTCGGATGTCACCTCTCTGGGAAAGGGTGACTTGTAAAGCCTGGGTTTGGATTCCCACCTCAACGTGTCCAGCATCCTGTGCTTACCCCATGATAGCTTTATTACATGTTTGTCTCTCTTTTTCTAAAAGATTTTATTTATTTGACAGAGAGAGAGACAGTGAGAGCAGGAACACAAGCAGGAGTGGGAGAGGGAGAAGCAAACTTCCCACTGAGCAGGGAGCCTGATGAGGGGCTCGATCCCAGGACCCTGGGATCATGACCTGAGCTGAAGGCAGATGCTTAACGACTGAGCCACCCAGGTGCCCCTATATGTTTGTCTCAAGCAGATTGTATGCTCCCTGAAGGCAGGGACATTATGTCATTATGTCATCATTTACTCTATTCCCTGTATGTAGCATAGGGTTTGGCTCTAGCCAACATTGTAAGGGTTATGAATTACCTCTTTGGGCAAGATGCAGATATTTAGTAAAATAAACTTTTGCATTTGCTTAGGTGATAAGGGATGTCGTTGTGTTTTTCTGGATAAGGAATACAGACTTCAGGGTTTGACCCCCAAGCGCCATTCTTGGCCAGTGGACCCTAAATACAGCAGCTTGCCAGGTGGATTTGGCTGGTCTGGGAGCTGGCTTTGTTAGCTCGCCCAGGCTCCTAGAGTTGGCTGCTGCTTAACTTTTCATGGGAGAGGCTACCAGATGGAATCCAGGTGCTTTGTTCCCCCCACGTTATTTCTCTGCCTCCTGAGAATTCTCCTGCACGCGGGGTACAGAGTGGCAGAAGTGTGGTCTAGGGCTGGTGGGCCCTTTTCGTCTCATTCTTCTGAACTCCCTCTCCCCATTTTGGTCCCACTCTGTTTATTTGGTCTTACCCTTTCCCCTTCTCCCTTTTTCCTGAGTGTATCGTCTACGGCTCCAGGGCAGCTGGGAGTGTCATGGGCCTTTCTTAGTTCCCCTGAACAGTTGACTTTTGCCTTTGGCTGTGGAACCTTGTTAGTGCTGTAAGGGGGCACATTAGGGGGACCAACTGTTTTGTTTTGCCCAGTCCCGTCCTGGAAAACCCCTCAGTCCCGCATTGCTGGTTGCTCTGGTTAGTGCTGACCTGGGAACTTTGCATCACCCATGACTTGGGTGAGTCTTACGTTTTGTTTTCTAGCACTTACTTGCATTCAGCATGTACATTCGATTCATCTTACTCATCACAGGCTGTAGGATCGGGTAATGTTATGTCACAGAAAACGAGTAATCTCCCTTCCTGTTTAATCATTAGCCAAAGGCTTTTGAACAATACTTGAATCTGGAAGATAGCCGTTTGCTGAGTCATCTGAAGACGTGTTCCGCGCTGTCCAGACTTCCTTATGATCTCTGGTTCAAGAGGTGCTTCGCAGGGTGCTTGCCTGAATCCAGTTTACAGAGGCAAGTATCGCTTTCAGAGATGGTCGAAGGCCTGAAGGCCGAGGAGCATCCTGGTTTTTCATGTGATCGTCCTTCAGAGTATGAATTTGCTTTAGGACAATACCATAATTTTAAGTTAACTTCTCTGGCAGGCAACAGAGCAACTTGATTCTACTTTTTATTTATACAGTTAGAAATGCTGGAATGTTAGTAACATTAACCTCACATGAATACAAATTAATGTTAATGGTAGAAATATTAGAATATACAATTAGAAAACTTGAAGGCCCTCAGTCTGTTGGATGCTGTACACTATTCACATCTGAAACCGTCTCCGGGAGCTTATATAGGTCTAAGCTTTTCTTTCCAGAAATATGGTAGATCCTGATCTGAAGGCAGTCTTCCTATTTCTTAGTTCCATCGTGACATCTTTAAAGTAGCTGAAGGTAGGCAGAGATCAGAGACTCACATTCAGCTTTCATTTGTTTCAGACATGTGTTGCTGGCATTTCAGAGTCCTGTCCCCTCCCCAAGACTGTATGAGGTAGTTGGGAAGAAAGGTGACGTGCAGAGAACATCACAAGACAGTATATGACTAAGCACATAGAGTGTAACACCAACTTTAAGAGGTATAGGAATTATCAGAATAGTTTTTCTAGAGTGGTCGCAGATCAATAACTAGCCCCTTAAGCTCTTTTTAAAAAAATTTTATTTATTTATTAGAGATAGAGAGAGCGAGATAGAGCACGGGCAGGGGGCGGAGAGGGGAGAAGCAGGCTCTCTGCTGAGCAGGGAGCCCGATGCAGGACTCGATCCCAGGACCCTGAGATCGTGACCTGAGCCAAAGTTAGATGCTTAACCCACTGAGCCACCCAGGTGCCTCCTAGCTCCTTAAGCTCTTGGAGAAGTTTTAGGAATTTGAACCACTAGAAAATGAAATTGCATTGATCTCATTTCATATGCTGCTTTTGTTATTCCTTAGTATTTAATTATTAGATTAGCATTACACAATATTAATAAAATCCAAACTTTGGTTTAAGACTGTCCTTCCCTTAAATGTCAGGTTTAAAACCTTAGGGAATGGGTGTCTGGTGGATCTCTTACAGAGCAAGTACTTTTTAGTGATCATTCCTTTTTCCCTTCCAGGGCTGATTGTGTGTGAAATATGTTTCAAAATGGCTGATTTGTTGTGTTTTTGCTTTTCTGATGATTATTTCATTACTGCTTTTCTCTGAAGTTTATCCTTAAAAGGAGTAATTTGATTTAATTTTGTAATTTGAGATGTTTAACTAAACATAAATTTCAAACTCAAATAATTTTATTACATCACTTGATTTTTTTTTTTTATAGGGTTTGGGATAAAGTTGTAAGTGGATCCTGTAAGATCCTAGTTTTTGTAGCTGTGGAAATTTTATTAACCTTTAAAATAAAAGTAATGGCTCTGAACAGTGCAGAGAAGATAACAAAGTTTCTGGAAAATGTAAGTGTGCTTTTTTTTAAAATTTGATTTTGAATCTAGAAAGGAAGTCCGTTTAGCAAGCCAGATTTTCCTACTGCATTACATTCTTTCTCTGATATTTTTACGTTATAAGAAACACTTTTTCCCCTTGGAAAAATTTAGCTTAAAGTTGGTCTGTGGGTTATAATTTGCATCCTCTCTCTGGGGGATGATGGTCTGAGTAGTGAGACTGTTACCGTGAGTGTGTGCCTGAAGACCAGAGTCTTATCGCCTGATGTGACCACCAGGAAGCTTGTTGAGAAAAGGAAGAGGTGAGTGAGATCTGTCATACGCGGTTGAGTAATCCTTCTTAGTGGAAATGGAAGCCTGATGTTGTGGGGGATTTTGTAAGCCCTTTCATTGCTGTTAATATCTGGCGGAATCCCAGTTGGGTTTGATCATGTGCTTAAGTATATACTTACTGCGTGTAGGGAAGGGTCTAAATGAATCTCCGTGTATCTTAGAATACCCTTAACCAGGCAAGAGTTGGAGGAGATTTATGCTGGGATGAATTTCACTGGACCCAGAATCTATTCTTTTTTTTTAATTGGCCGCTATTAACATTTGAATAGCAGCTCAGTAAATAGTACCACGTGAAGGCGTGGTGAATACATGAGTCCTCAGCATTCTGTTAGTGGCTGACAGTGCCAGGGCCCATGCTAAGTATTTTTCATGGAGTCTCCCACATAATCCTAAATGGCCCTAGGAAGAGAGGCTGTCATTTGCCCCCTTTTAGAGATGGGATCTGAACTTGGATAGCCTGCCGGGGGGCACACAGTGGGCAGTGCAGGCTTGAAACCCGGGTAGTCTGAGTGGAGCTCTTCAGCCTATCCTCCCGTGGCCTGTGAAACAAAGATCCTGGCCGCAGCCTTTCACATGACCGCTTTCTGAAAAGTCGTGAGAATTCGGCGGCGGGGGTTGGGGGGGGTGGGGGCGGCGGGTGGATGGGGATGTAAGTGCTATGGTGCAGGGAATGAGGGAGACAAGGATGTTGATACACACTGAAATTTCACAACGACTGGTTTGCTTGTCCACAGATTCCCCAGGACAGCTCGGACGCGATCGTGAGCAAGGCCATCGACTTGTGGCACAAGCACTGCGGGACCCCAGTGCACTCAGCCTGATGGCTCCCTGCACACACGGCCTACCAGGCCGCGCTGAGCGGTGTGTTCTCAGGACGCTGCCCACTACACTCACTGAAAATCTGGTTCTTGCTTTGGTGCTCAAAGCATCATTTTTCCCCCAGTAAAATTATTTAAGATACCTGGTGACACTGTTTGGAGCAGCAACTTGTGGTTACACAGAAGTACAAAGCTCAACTCTGAATAGCATTTAAAAGGGTTATTCAAAAAATACTCCCTGTTTTCCATGCATCAGCCAGGGAGGGTGGGTGCTTTGATAGGCAAGCCTGCCCTGCTCCTCTCTAATTAGCACCACGCTCGTTACTTTCTAAAGCTATTTCTGGAATAAAAAACAACTACCTTTTGTTGACAACTCACATTCGGCTCTCGTTGATACGGTACTTGTTTAAATCTAAGCTGTCTGCTTTCTGAGGCTTTGTCTTGCCAAATAGGTTTCAATAAAAGCCTTATATTTTTTTTTTCTCTGTGTCAATCAGAATGAAAGTTATGGAACAAAATATGTCTAAGTTTACCTACCAGGAGAGAGAATACTTGTGGATGTCATGCTTTTTCCTTTTTTTTTTTTTT